ATGAGACTAAAAGCAGCTACTCAAGGTCTGAGGGCGAAGTCGTACTGCTGACTGTATAGGTGTGTGTGACAGCAGTAAGGTGTTTAACTCGGACAACTAGCATCTGCATCGATGTTGCCTTCTCACAAGGAAGGAAGGGGTTGGAAAAGGTCGACCCTAAAAATGTCAAACCTCACCTTACCTCACGGATTTTTGTCTTCGGCAGTAAGGCCATTTGAAGGGCGGAGCTAACACTTTACAAACTTCTCATAAGAAAGTCATGTGTGGCCAACTTGAAGCAGTTGTTCCTTGGGCTCTGTGATCACGTTCCCAGGTCGGTAAGACCAACACTAATCCAACTTATCTATTCCTTATTCATTCAAAATCATGAATCGATCATTGTTAAATAACCCTTAGAAACCTAGAAGCATCCTACGGCCGTTTCGTTCTAGTATGGGATTCATCAGTGGCAGACGGGATACATGACTCTTGCTCCTCGCAGGAATTGAACACAGGACATTTGGTCTTGCGCAAACTCATCCACTGTCTTCGGTGAGCACTACTTCACATTCGAACAGGGTTGGACTGTACTGGTCACGACTTCTCACTAACATCTGGGAGAAACTTCCTCACGAAGCTAGTCACAAGTGAGCTTATGATAATTTTCATTATTGTAAAAAGTAAACCTCGTGAATCGACCAATGTTAGACGAACATTAGAAACCTAAAAGCAGAGCACAGTCGTTTCGTCTTGGTATGAATGACTCATCAGCAGTGTGTATTCATGACCCCTGCATGTGTGAATCGAGCTCAAAACCTCCTGTCCTGCTATCGATTAAGTTTTAGTGGAACCACTAGTCTAAGTGATTTGGGATAAATTGCACTATAGTCAGTCCGTAAGAAAGACTACAACAATTCCGTGATCAATCAATCGTAAACAATTTTAGGACTGAGATAATCCCATCATATCCCCCATCCCTCACTCCTATACACATACACAAACACACTTACACACAGAGTTCAATTTTCCTTCTAGAATCTGTAGTTCAAAATTAGTTTGATATGTTTCCTTCTAATATGTACTCGTATATTTCAGGCTTATATATCATGATTTAAACATATATGTATATGGAGATATACATTTATGTGTATGTGCGTGCGTGTGTGTGTGTATGTGTGTGCGTGCATGCATCGACTATGTGACTTTTTATCATGGTAGTAATGTGTGTACGAACAGTGTTGTCCAATATGTCAAACTTCCTATTTCCCCTATTAAGTTGAATCACGATTTAGTGTTCATCTCAGACAAAACAAAATCCGAAAAAAATTGTATTGATCTTATCTTCATACGTGCAAATAGACAAATAGACAGATAACAATTATGAGAGAGAAATTGACAAGATGTGATGATGGTCTAAAATCGATCGATCGATCGATCGATTGATTCATAATTTCGAAATAACTCATCGATGTCTACAACCCTCATAATACAAATGATGTATGCACACTAGTGACTAGCTCCGTGAGGAAACAAACTTCTCCGAGGTGTTAGTGAGAAGTTGTGACTAGTGAGGTTCTACTCTGTTCGAGTGTGAAGCAATGTTCATCGAAGACAGTGGATGAGGTTGAGCAAGGCCACGGATTGATTGAACCTAGACAATAACACCGTTGGATGTCGGCCGACTCAGTGGTCTAAAGGTCAAACGTTCGTGCACAGGACAGAAGGCCTGCGAGTTACAGGAGTTGTGGATACGCAGTGCTGATGAGTAGTTAAATATAAGAACGAAACGGCAGTCCAGTTCTTCCAGGTTTCTAATGTTTGTCTAACATTAATCAACTTATCAGAAAGGCACGTCCACGACCCTGTAAGCGGGGATGAAAGCTAAGATGTGCACTGCCACAAATGAGTTCTATACTAGGAAGAAAGGCCGCCCAGTGCTTCCAAGTTTCTAAAGGTGGTCTAACATTGATCGATCTATGATTTCATGAGAATAACTATTTGGTTTTGAGTGTTCAGTGAAATTCGAACATTTTCCTGCTTGTTAAATCTGTTTATACTGTCTGTACATAAAAGTGTTATTTTTCAGCGAGAACTTTATTTCAATCATCTCAAAGTTATCTATATATATTTTTAGTGAACAGGACTACTGTGGTTCATAATAGATTATCAGAAATGTAAGCATTTTTTCGCGGGATATTAGATTTTACGGAGAGTGTTGAGTTACTACTTTTTGAAATCATGAATCGATCACATTGTTAGACCACCATCAGAAAGCTGGAAGAAATGGACAGCCATTTCGTACCGGTATAGGACTAATCAGCAGTGCGCCTCCACGACTCCCGCAACTCCCGACCGTAGCTGCTACCTTGCAAAATGTTGCTTCAAGACTGGGTTGCATCGGCACCTGAACTAGTAATAGGGAGTGAAGTAGTTGAACGTGTAGACCGCTTCACTTATCTTGGGAGTCTCATCAGTGCTAAGTAAGAATGGCAGATCAATAGATGAAGTAATGAAACTTCATCAGTTAAGGTGGTTGGAACATGTGCTGCGTATGCATAACCACCGACTGCCTCGACGAGTTTTGTTTTGTAGTGTAGTAGTAGGCTGGAAGAAAGCCAGGGGCGGCCAAACCAAAACATGGCAGAAATCCATGAAGTCATTGACGAGTGGACTTAGCCATGTCGGTAGTTGTCGACTACCTGATTGGGGTCCACGAGATGTTAATAATCGATGGTTAGATACCTTGAACCACATGGCTCAAAATCGTTCGCAATGGCGCCGGTGCATTTATTCTTTGTGTTCTCTCAAATCCTAATCTTCTGGATTCTTCAACACCTCTAGTTTTGACTTTCTAAACTTTTCTCAATGAATCATACTTCTTGAATAATATCTTCTAATCCTCACCTGTCCGATTACTTCTAATACCTTAACTACCTCTACTACTACTATTTGATTTGAATTGACAATTACATTTCTGTGCTACTGCAGTGGTATGACAACATGAACTGATGTACTTACGTACAAAGTTCTACGTTGCATCTGACTGACTGACTCCCGCAACTCACAGGATTGGAATCCATGAACTTCGGCCTTGCGCGCAAACTCCTAACCTTTAGACCAATAAGCCGGTGGACATCCAACGGTGTTAGTGTCTATCTTCCATCAACCCTCGATGATCTTGTGCAACCTCATCCACTGTCTTCGAGGAACACTGCACAAACCTCACTGATTGTCTTCCTTCGGGTAAGTGTCTATAATACCTGACAAGGTTGAACTCCACTAGTTACGCCTCCCCATTAAAGCTCCAAGAATTATCCCATCCACTTAGTTAATAGTGAGCACATTTTATGATATTTCATTATAGAGTTATGAAGACTGTTAGGTGTCATTGAAGTTAAGTATTCGTTCACCAGACCGAAGGTTATGGATGTGCACTGCCACTGATAAGTAGTCCCATATACCATAGGACAAAACGACTGTCCAGTGAATACTTCCAGCTTTCTAATGATTAGTATAACAATGATTATCAGTTCATGGTTTCAATGAAATTTAACAATCTCCTTAATTCTACAATGAATTATTCACTTTGTCTATTTAAACAAAAAACCAAAAACCACATGATGAAATCAGCCCCGTTATGCCGCCCACTACAACTAAGACTATACAGCTCCTAACTGAAATTTTCTCACGAAATGGCATACCAGATGTGATCGTATCCGACAATAGCTCTCAATTCACCTGTTCCCAATTCCAGACTTTCTGTCAACGGCTAGCCATTAAACAATTACGCTTGCCACCATACCACCTACAATCGAATGGGTAAGCGGAAAGGTTTGTGGATACGTTTAAAACAGGATTGGTTAAGTCAAAAGGGGAGGGGACACCAGCCGAAGCGTTACAAAATTTCTTGTACGTCTATCGGATAACACCAAGTGAGTTGGTTGTTACCGGAGCAAAAGTCCCCAGCAGAAATCCTGATGGGAACAAGATTGAAAACGATCCACAGCCTGATGCTTCCGACCAATGCACCAACATCAGTAGAGACAAAGCTGCAAAGACAATCCGCTTACGAAGTGGGATGCCCTGTGTTTGCCCGTGACCACAGAACGAAGCATGATCCTTGGGCAGAAGTGCGAGTGGTCAGAAGAGTTGATCGAGTTATGTACGAAGTAATGGTCACGTCATCGAAATCAGATACGCAGACGGCTAGCCCCAGATCGCCCACCAAGAGCAGAAAGCCTTCCCCTTGACATCTTGCTTGATACCTTCAACCTACCGACAGCTCCGCTACGAGAAGAAACTCAGCAGCAAACTGTTCTTCGTTCCAGAAGGTATCTTCTCAGATAGCGGGCTTATTTTGGTTTTCACGTTTGCCAGCATGGACTGATCAGTTGACCTTGAGATTTCATTTCACACCAGGAAAATCCATGGCTGTGAGTGGCTGCTGTGTATTTTAGTGTGCTATTTTCTTAACTGTCCTAAGGACGTTTCTATGATGTATAAATAAACGAGAGTCGTGTGCTTGGTTGTATTGTGATTGGTGGGTGTTTGTAGAAATATACTTTCTACGCTTACAAAGCCTTCTGTCTTCAGCATGGGATTCAAAGTAGCATATCTGGACACTGGTAATTGTCTCGTTCGCGTTTTATCGACTAAGGTGAACTCGTAATAGTCTCAAGCGTACCTAGTGACGAACCCTACAGTAAATTAGTTGGAATCATCAATCAATCATTGTTCGACCACCATTAGAAACCCGGTATCACTGGACAGCCGTTTCGTCTTGATATGGGACTCATCACTGGCAGTGTGCATCCGCGACTTCCGCACCTCGCAGGATTCGAACCTGGGGACCTTCGGTCTTGCAAGCAAACGCCCGAAACATCCGTCTTTCAGTGCTTCCAGCTTTCTAATGATGATGGTCTAACAATGATTGATTGATTGATTGATTGATGATTTCAAATGTGTAAAAACACATATACATCTGCATAAGTATTGAATATCGACTGGAAATTATCACTTACACCGGAATCAATAATTTTCGCCATGACATCTTGTAGACTGTCAGTTTTGAAACATGTCAATGGAGCTGGATAACGCTATAATAATAATAATAATAGTAATAATAATAATAATAATAATAATAATAATAATAATAATGAATACCATAGTAAAAATACAAGGAATAATAAATACAAACTTATGAATAAGTATAAAAACGATCAGATAATGAGGTTTCACTAAAATTCTCATTGACTGATTAGTACAAATGATTCGATACAAACTATTTTGTATGTTAACACATTTGAAATCATCAATTAATCATTTCATTGGATGGCCGTTTCGTTCTGGCATGGGACTCATCAGTGGTAGTGAGCGCTCACGACTCATGCACCTCACAGGATTCGAACGTGGGGACCTTCGGTCTTGCTTGCGAACACCTAACCTCTGGACCACTGAAATGGCATCCAACGATGTTCATGTCTAACTCTTATTGATCAAGGGATTTCGCGCAACCTCACCCATTTGCCTTTGGTAGTTAGCAACTGCCTACACCAGACAGGATGAAACGGCCGTCTTTCAGTTCTTCCAGGTTTCTAATGGTTGTGGTCTAACACAATGATTGATTGATGATTTCAAATGTGTAAAAACACTAATCTTCATAACTCTAATTGAAAATATTTGTATTTTATTCTGTTCACCAGAGTGATTTTCTGTAATGTGTTAGCTGACTGTACAAAATTGACAATAAGTCCTCCTAAATTTGATGTAAACTTTGAATTTTGGCATGATGGTATCTTCGAGATCATTGTGTATTGAAGGAGAACACAGGTGAGGGCAACCGGATTGTATTTAACGAAAACTATACAGTTACTCAGTAAAATAGGAAAACCATATCGTAAATCGTTAGTTAATTTGCAAAATATCAGTTAATCCTATCGAACTGGACTGTTCCTGTTGCAAAACATCAATCCATTGTCACTATTCATGCGTTTCATACAAATTCCATTGTGTTCCCACTATTCTTCCTTTCTTGATCTTGCCCCATCTTCTGCTGCCAGACATTACGTTGACACTCACGTCATATACTACTTATAAGTAGCTCACACCACAATTGTTTTGATACATTGAAATCATGAATAAATCACTTTGTGGTGAGACCAGCCATTAGAAACCTGGGAGCACCGTTTTGTCCAATAGTATGGGACTACTCGTCAGTACCAGTGCGCATCCACGACTCCTGCTATTTGTTGGATTCGAACATGGGAACTTCGGTCTCACGTGCGAACGTTTAACCTCTGAACTACTGAGCCGGTGGTATCCAGTGGTGTGAAGCTTATGCTCATATCATCGAGTCTCATCGTCGGAGATTAACACTACTGAACTCTTAAGATCATACATAACATGTCACCTTTTTTTGATGACCGAGTGTTTCATCAAGATGATTGATCAATGTCTGTTATTCACAATTATATAAATTGACCTTCTGTAGGCAAGGGCAATTTTATATTGATTTTGTAGGAGAACCAAGGAGACTGCTCACGTGTTAGCATTTCGACATGAACAGTTCGGCTCAATCCTGTGGTGCAAACACCAAGTAGGTACCTGACACCCTGGTGGACCATTCACACCATTTATATTTACACTAGTACATAGATAGTGATTATTTCCGATCCATGGTCGCTTCGTCAATCAATAAACACCGCATGAACGGGCCAATTTGACCCATCTCGCTTACATGACAGTCAACCTCATTAGTATTAGCAATGGTGATATGCAGCAATACAGCACCCTAATGACAATGCCCCTCGAGAATGTTGCAAAACAACCACTGGTATCAATCTAATGGGTCACCCTCCTAAACAATTTTGTATATGAACTTTTAGAGATGCTTGCCAAAGCAATACCAAGCCATCTACAATGTTCATCACAACGAACCTCTGGTCTCTCATAGGAAACTTTCAGCTCTATATAGCAGCATAGCATATCGTGTACACATATATGGCGTAGGAAAGCAGAAGATGCAGTCCAGCTTGCAGTGAACAGGCCCAAACACTCCTATTACCCTTTGTCTCATGTCGGGTAAGGATTTTCTTAGCAGTTCCGAAAACCATATGAGACCTGAGTTACCGGTAGCAAGTATCCCTATATCGATGTCTTGCCAAAATCATACATACCTGAAGGACACAGCAGTTCACTCTTGCATCAAGAACTGATTCACGTATTCCTCTCAAGAGTCACAACAATTACAAACAAACATAAAACTCTAGACTAAGTTAATTCTAGAATTAAAAATAGCAACAGAATATTCCACTAAAAACAATCCACTTACATCTCGATTTAATCGACGAAATTCAAGTGAATCATATACACTAATATTTAAATTATCATAAGATCGTGTAACAGCCAAATTCTAAAATTGAACAATGAATAAAATTGGAAATTATTTGGTTGGTTAGGGTTATGGTTACGGTTATTTAAAATGATATATACTGTGGTGTGTAAAGGGTTTCAAAATCTTTATGTTGTCGATCGGCTCTTAGTTTCATTTTCTAGATTCTTTGAATTTAATTGAAGTGACTACTGAATGTTTTTTTAGTAGTATTTTTATGAAAGAGTAAATGTATTTTATGCATTTGCTGGGTCATTAGTGTGTCGAATTCTTCTGGTATTCTCTTCTCTAGTTTCTTTCTGTTCATGGTACTGTGCATGTTCTTCTGGTACATGAGGTATTTTCTGGCTAGACTCTAAATTTAGAGTCTTCTGACCACGCTAAGCAACAATGCAAGCATGTTCGGGATGCGGTACTCACCCTCGAAATACAAAATGTTGTTTCAAGATTGGGTTGCATCGGCACCTGAACTAGTGATAGGGAGTGAAGTAGTCGAACGTGTAGACAGCTTCACTTATCTGGGGAGTCTCATCAGTGCCGATGGCCTGGTGACTGACGAAATCTCAGCACAAATACAGAAGGCTCGATTGGCTTTTGCCAACCTGCGTCACTTATGGCGCAGTCGAGATATCCGCTTGCTGACTAAAGGATGAGTGTACTGTGCAGTAGTTCACTCTGTCCTACTATAGAATGCGAAACATGGCCAGTGAGAGTAGAAGATATTCGTAGGTTACTGGTTTTCGATCATAGGTGTCTTTGAAGCATTGCTTGTATATCGTGAGACACCCGAGTGAGCAATGCTGTTATTAGGAAACGGTTGCTCGGTAAGAATGGCAGATCAATAGATGAAGTGGTGAAACTTCATCAGTTGAGGTGGCTGGGACATGTGTTACGTATGCCTAACCACCGACTGCCTCAACGAGCTTTGTTTTGCGATGTGGGCAAAGAAGCAGACCGAAAAACACATTACCCCGAGAAATGGAGAACAGACATGAGAAGAATTAACAACAATTGAACAGAACTGGAAAGGAAAACCCAGGACAGACTTGGTTGGAGAATGCTGGTCGGCGGCCTATGCTCCATTCGGGGTAACAAGCGTAAGTAAGTGAGTAACATACAATTTGAACAAGATTAAAGCATCATGATTAAAAGGACTGAATGAATGTAAGCGAATTAAACAAGATAAACTATTATTAACTAATTTGTTCAAAGGAAATGTATCAGTTTAATTAACGAAATTAAATATTATGAACAAAGGTGGATAGTGGCTAGCAGTGGAATCAAGGACTAGCGGTTCGTTCTATTTGGGACTTGTCTTTAGCTGGACGTATCAACAGATATCAGAGTTAATGTGTTACTCCAAGACTCGAACCAATCCAAATGAAGAAATAAAGTTTTGTTATAAATTCAACAATATATACCTTCTCTCTTCTTATTTTTCATACTGACAGAGTAAAAGAGTACGATTTTCATACCTACCCATCTGTGTCCATCTATCTATTTGATTAAAATAACATTTTATCATTAGATTGAATGTAAATTAGTTTTTTTTATATTTAACTACAAGGCTAAAAAGCAAGTGTTAGGATAATTTAAAATGTATCGAATTTTAATTAACACCAATCCTTCAAGAATCTTGAAAACGTCTCTAATATTGAGTTAACTACTGATAATGATTATATAGTAGTATAATTTTTTAAACAATTTTTTCTAACACATCTCAATCAACCAAGTAATATTGTGGCTAGGATCCGATATCTAGGCCATGCATTTCATCCTTTGTGGAGATTCATCAACCGGATACAACTGAATACATCAACTCATCAATCAATATAAACTACTACGTTATTGATTTTTTTGTAAAAATTAAAACACAAGGAAAACAAAACGATCGATAACTTACAATCACATCAAATTTGGCATAGATTTCAATAAGTTGACCAGTTACATTATCAATAATCGGTAAACAGGATACTTGATTTTTTAAAAATAATTTTAATGCATCTATAATTGTTGTATTATTTGTGATAGTTTGAACATTTGGTGTATAAGTGCCTAGTTTTAATTCATATAAACTTTTTGATAGAAATTTCACTGGCGGTAAATTATGCCTCTGTAAGTAAGTAAGTAAATGAATTTTTTTGAGGGGAGAATGATGAAAAATAAAACAAGGTGTTAATTATAAAGGGTATAAATTAGGGAAAATAAATAATTTTCATTATATAAGGAGTTGTTAAGATTGAAATCATGAACTAACTATAAGAAACCTGAAAGCACTGGATAGCCGTTTCGCTCTGGTATGAGACTCATCAGTAGCGGCGCGATTCCATGCCTTCAGGAATACAGGACCTTCAGTATCTCACGTTAACGCTTAATCTTTAGACCATTGAGCAAGCATCCAACAGTGTTAAAATATTTAACTTCAATCAATCTAAGACATTTTGCAACCTAATCCATTGATCTTCGGTGGGTCACACTGCCTAACAATCGACACAGTTGCACACCGCTGATTATTGCTTCCCACTAGAACTCCAAGAATTCCCTCACAAGTAAGAACTTAATTATTTACTTACACCTGTTACCACTCATCGAGCATTGATCACAGAGAAGTCTAGAGCATCCATCAGCATCCGGTGCTCCCCCTCAGATGCTGAGGTATTTATCATCCAGTTGACAACCAGGAGCAAGAGAAAAGGTGACAATCAGCAACCTGACCTGAAATCGGTCACAAATAAGCATATTATTAGAATTTTCATTGTGGAGGTTATAGAGTGGAGGGGTTGTCAATGTGCACTTTTGATGGGTCTCATACTGCGATTAAACGGCTGTCAAATGCTTCCTAGTTTGTAAAAGTGGTCTAACACACTGATTAATTCATGATTTCAATGAATAATTTTGATCATGAATCGACATCAGTTAGAAAATTTATACCAGGAATCGGACTGTTGTTGAATTTTGGCTCTTCAAAAATATTCGACGACACTTACTATTTGATCTTGTTCAAGAATTAGACTCAGAAAACTTTCAGGTCTCATGGTGAGTGTCACTCACAAACTGATGAAATAAAATTAAAAATGAATCACTACTCAATCTTTTCACACTAAACATACTGAAAGCAGCTGAAATCAAGTTTAAATCTATGACTTACTTGTTTCTCAAAATTTTTAGATTGACCAGAGTTAGAAACAAACACAATTGTATGCAAATTCAGTGGTCTAAAAGGTTAAGCATGTGCATGAATGACCGATGGTTGTGTGTTCAGCAAAGTACTGTCAGTAGCAGGAGTCATGGATAAGCACTGCTGATGAGTCCCATACCACGACGAAACGGTCGTGGTCTGACAATGATTTAATCATGATTTCAATGTACTTGTTAATGACCAGATGGCTGAGAAAAATTGTTTCTCAGGTGAATGATTGTGGTGGTGGTGTTTGGTTCTCTGAGCTGGATGTTGTTTTGTTCGTCGAGCTTTCATTGTTCTTCTGAACAACATCATCAGCACAAACTTCAGATAGAAGAAGTGAAATATTCGATTTTCTCCACGTTTGACCTGTAGCTTGTTCTGCTAACCTCGATCTTGATTGATTGCTGTTGACCTTAAATCTATCGTTGTTTGCACCTTTGTTTTGATTGTATCCTCTTCCCTTTTGATCTGTTTCTTGACCCGATGTCGCCTATGATTTTTATGAATCAGGTTTAAAGTCAACAGCAACCAATCAAGATTGAGGTTACCAGAACAAACTACAGGTCAAACGTGAAGAAATTCGAATACTTCACTTCTCTCATCTGAAGTTTGTGCTGATGATGTTGTTTACGGAAGAAAAATGAAAGCTCCACACAACCAAAATATTCAGCTCAGAGAGAACGAAACACCAACCCGATAAAAGACAAATTTTTCAACAATACAGATACACGTCTTCGAATTATGATGTACAAATCAAGTTGAACCGATATTGTCAGTTATTCTATGTTCAAAATGTGCAATACTAGTGAAGTTTAACAAATCTCCAAATCATACTTCAATCAATCCACCACACTAATAGATGTTGGCTCAGTGGTCAAAATCAAAGTGTCTAGATTCAACTCCCAGTGATGGGGGGTTGTCAATGTATACTCTACTGTAGAGTTAGTTACATATAAGAACGAATCAGCTGCATGAAAAAGTGTGAAACATACTGGATGGACGTTTGGTCCTAGTATTACAACTCCTCAGCAGTATTCATTCACGATTTCTACAGTCCGTAACTAAATGAACTAATAGGATAAACAATCTCATACCCGAAGGCTGAATCTTTATACTTTGAAATTATGACTTGATCAATGTTAGACCAAAGTTACAAACTTGGAAGCACCACTGAAAGACGGCCGTTTCGTCTTGGTATAATACAGACTGTAGGGTTCGTCACTAGGTACGCTTGAAGCTATTACGAGTTCACCTTAGTCGATAAAACGCGAACGAGACAATGAACCAGCGTTCAGGTAGGCTACCTTGAATCCCAAGCTGAAGATAGAAGACTTTGTAAGCGTAGAAAGTATATTCTACAACACCCAGAAATTACAATGCAATCAAGCACACAACTCTTGTTTATTTATATACATCATAGAAACTTCCTTGTGACAGTTACGAAAATAGCACACTAAAATAGTACAGCAGCCAATCACACAGCCATGGATTTTCCTGGTGTGAAATAAAATCTCAAGGTCAACTTGATCAGCCCATGATCGCGAACGTGAAATCCAAAATAAGTCATTTATCAAGCGAGTTTTGGGGATCTAACATCCCCAACACAGACTCATCAGCATTTCGCATCCACAACTCCTACTACTTGCAGAAATCCAACCCATGAAATTTGGTCTTGTGCGTGAACGCTCAACCTGTAGATCATTGAACCGGCCGGTATCCAACGGTGTTCATGTATAACTTCGATCAATCCATGATCTTGATGACCACCACTGATGAAAGATCAGTTATATGATATTATTGAATATAATGAAAGTCAGAGATATACTCTAACATTGATCTATTCATATTCAAATAATCTTTATACAACATCACTGGTTTATTTAAACTTAACTTGAACTAGAAATCCAACAATCTCCATAGTAAATATGATATGGTCGTCAAATGATATGCTTGAAAACTATTACGAGTTCATCTTACTCGGTTAACGAGAGCGAAAACAAATGATCCAGTGACACGATAGACTACTCTAATCCGAGCGTCCCAATGCCCCACTAAGTAGAGGAAGAAGTCTTGACAAGACGTAGAAAGTGTATTATTCTACAAGCACACAAATCGAGTTTATTTGTTATACCTTATAGAAACGTCCTTCAGAGAGCCACAAAAAAGCGTACTAAAATAATACATCAACCAATTAAAGTCAAGGATTTTCTTTAGTGGGAAGTTGTTAGGATATTCACCAAATATCCTAAGATTACTACTATTTTTAGAAGTACAATCCTATTGGTCGATTTCTATTGGCCGAAATTATGATCGTTCTAACCGTCAAGGTCAAATACTTCAATGTTGCCTCTTATTGGTCATCTGGACTGTCAATGTCATTCAAATGTTCTTTTCTATTGGTCGGCCTAAACTGTCAATGTCACAGACGTTGATGCTCTTTCTTATTCGACCTTAATGTATAAATACGCACTATCTCCTGCCTACCTCTCTTCTGTATTCGACCCAATAAACAACTCCATCCCACGGTGTTGCGTTCTGATATCTAGGAGATTTGGAAATAGCATTTTGGGTCGTATTGGGATATTTGAATTGGACGCCGCTAGGACTGAATAAGCTATACGTAGGAGCGTTACAACAGAAATGTACTCTCAAGGTCAACCGCTCAGCCTATGCGCAAACAACATAAAATCCAAAATTTAGGACCCTTTTCAACTGATTTCTGGGGATGTAACGTCCCCAAAAAAATAATTCTTAATTTCACCAATAATAATAATAATAATAATAATCAAACTTACATTTAAATGTAAATATTTTAATATCCGTTTATGTGTTAATATATGCAATGCATTCCCATGTAACGTATCAATAATAGGCAATCGATGAAAACGATATCGTAATAACATTCGTGAAGCATCCAGTAGGGAACATTCCGGTGTAACATAAACTAATGGGATTGTAGGAAAATTGATTTGATTGATTTCTGAACAGGAAAGAAAGCAAAGCAAAGCAAAGCGAATTGGGGGAAATACAAATGAGATTAACTGGTTGTTGACAGTGAAATAGAAAATTTTATGAAAGAAATATTTATCTGAAAAAATCTGATTTGAAATAATAATGGTTTTGTTTCCTAGTTTGAGACATTGTCAACAAACAACACACATGATCAGTACATTTAGAATAATAAATGATCATTCTTAATAGATAAAAAAACGTCAGTCAGTCAGCCAAGACAAATGATCCAGCGACACGATAGGCTACTCTAATCCGAGCGTCCCAAGGCCTAACTAAGTAGAGGAAGAAGTCTTGATAAGACGTGGAAAGTGTATACTACAAGCACCCGGAAAATACGAGGTCAACAAGTACATAAATCGAGTTTATTTATACATCGTAGAAACGTCCTTGAGAGAGCCACAAAACAGCCTACTAAAATAATACATCAACCAATGATAGTCAAGAATTTTCCGAGTGGGAAATTTAATCTCAATGTCAACTGAGCAACTTATATGCAAAAACTTGAAAAAAAAAATCCAAAATTAGGATCTAAAGTCCCCAAACAGAATTCACTGATAACGTAACTTAGATGGACTCGAACAGTAGAAGGATAACTGCCTACACCCGACAAGGTTGAACTCTAGTGGTCACATCTTCTCACTAGATCTCCGAGAATTCACTCACAAACAGCTAATCACTAGTAAGCATATTTTACAATTTTTCAATTAGAATTATGGAGACTATTGTTTTTACATAAGACAAGCAGTCACTTGGAATCTCGGGGACGCGAACGAGACAATGAACCAGAGTCCAGATAGGCTACCTTGAATCCCAAGCTGAAGATAGAAGGCTTTGTAAGCGTAGAAATTAAATTCTGCAAACACCCAGCAATCACACAATACAATCAAGTACACAACTCTCGTCTATTATTTATACATCATAGAAACATCCTTGGGACAGTTACGAAAATAGCACACTAAAATAGTACAGCAACCAATCACAGCCATGGATTTTCCTAGTGGGAAATGAAATCTCAAGGTTAGCTGATCAGCCCATTCTCGCAAACGTGAAATCCAAAATAAGGCATTTATCAAGCGAGTTCTGGGGATCTAACATCCCCAAAAAACCTATAAAAAAACCCAATACAACCTCCTGTCGATTAAGACTTAAAAATACGCTCTGTGTGCGTGTGTGTGTGGGTGTGCGTAACAGTACACCGAAATTGGGGAAATAAAAATTCCTAAACATATATATAATTCAATCAAAATCTTCATATTCCATATGCGGTGAAAAATATTAATGAGACCTATTGAACAAGAAAATTACCGCCAATTTAAAATTAGTCATTAACATGGCTGAATATGTTTGTTTTGATTGGTCACCAACCAACCAATCAGAGCAAAGATGATGATGACGATGAAATATGAACGTGTTATTGACAAAGAATAATAATAATAATAATAATAATAATAATAATATTTTTTAATGAAAATTATTTTTTTGGTTGCCTAGATTCATTGGAAAAAAAGAAACAAAAAATGCCTCAAACACATTTGAAATCAAAAGACAGAAATAGAGGCAAACGTTAGAAAAAAACAAATTTTGTCGACCTTGATATATTATTTGTCTAATTAGATTTTATCTGTTTAATTTTTTTTTCAAATATATACAAAACAAACTATTTCACTCTCTCTGTCGTTGGTTATGTAACAAACATTGTAATCCATACTGATTTTTTTATTGATAATCAAGTCGATAAAAAAATGTACTTTACTGATGAAAAAAACGTGTGGTAAAACAAAAAGCATATTTTTAAAATAAGCCGATGATGACCTTGAGCGTTCATTATCAGACCAATCAGCAATTGCTGTTGATAAATATGAACAGTTAAAAGACAGAATAAACAATGAAGTAATCAGCCATATCACATTGTTGAATTGCTTATTTCTTGTTTTAATGAAATAAAATGTTCCCATTTATAAATGAATAAATAGTTGGTTGAAGTGTTATCAGTTTGGTTTATCAACAACCTATAGAGTTTTGTCATCAATAGACACTAACGTGTTAGGAGTTGATCCGGAGTTGTGATATTGGTTTTTGAAATCAATTTTAGGGTTCGCATCATGAACTAACATAAGCTATGTTTGTTCCTTATACTCTGCACCCGATGTAGTGTGTGAACTGGCGTCGAGGCCTCTTAAACAAGAGTCTCCAGTAGGGTTCCGGTGTTCCAGTGCTGAACTCGTAATGGACGCAAATGATGTCTGTCCACTTCTGTGCGATGAACCTTGTTTGGCTGAGCGCTTGCGCTTGGTCGAGCTCATGACATCTTCCTCATGGAAAGGTGTACGTTCCGGCTGACCTTGTGGGACAAACTCGATCTTTAGCTTCATGTGAGGCCTTGGGGATTCCGATCGATCGTATCAGCGCAAGGCAGTTGGAGGTCAGACGATTGGAACGGCTGCTGGTTAGTGCACTGCTTAGGTGGCTCGGTAATCCGTTCGGGGTGCCATGTCTAGCTGGAGAAGCCTACCTTGCCAATTGGGGATTGTGGGTAGTGGATTGGTTGGAGGGATCTTGTTGATTCATAAGCGCCAAGGAGGGGGCCACTGCTCGTGTGCGTACTTTTTGGACGTCCACTTGCCTGCAGACCGAACTGGACAACATGTATGTTCCCGATTGGGGCAAGGGTGATTACTGTTGGCTACAGTGAGAATCCTTGCGTTGCCTAAAAAACAACGATGTGCATGTGCAGCAGCCTTGTTGGTTAACCAAAAGTAGCTATGGTGTAATGTGTTGTCATTGTTACTTCCTTACGCCTGTTACCTGCAAATGGAGCATAGGCCGCCGACCAGTATTCTTCAGTCTATTCTGTCCTGAGACTCCCATTCTAGTTCTGTCAAATTGTTGTTCATTCTTCCCATGACTGTTTTCACTTCTTGGCATAATGTTTTCCTTGGTTAGGGTTAGCGGGACATCGATGGAATAAAGCATGACTGCGTCAGCTGCGCGCTGATTGGCTAATTTCCTATCCAATGAGCGCCTGATCGATTCTTGGAGAACAAGGTAGAAAATTCTCGTGTTGTTAGCTGCATACTGATTGGCTAAATCCAATACAGTCGATCACGTGAATTACAATCCAGAAGATTCTCATGTAAATACTGTGAAGAAACTAATGTATCTATTATGCCTTCGCCTTCGGCTTCTTATTTCCGTTTAACCTTGCTATTTGGAATATAATCTTTTTCCTTTTCCACCGTGTTTTTGATTTTTGGAACTTGTCCAGTAGTGTATTGTGGTCAGAGAAATACTAAGCAACAGGATTTAGCTGGGAATTATTTCAGCAAACATTACAACAGTTTTCTTATTTTCCTTTGGACTTGGGAATTCGAAGTGAGGTCTTGTTCTGTGACGCAGTTGGGTGCTTTCCTCAATGTGTGTGTGCTATTTACCTCCAGCGCTTCTTCCCAAATTCTTCCTCAGCTGGTTTGTTCTCTCCCACATTAGGTTGTTGCTGATGGTATCTGGTCAACGAATCCGAAGTATTTTAATAGACAACTGTATCTTCTGGATGATGGCCTTCGTGGTTCTTCAGGTCTCCCCATTCTATGCAGTAGAATTGTCTTGTCATTTGGATTGAAAATTTCGACTTTGATGTTAGTTGATAGTAGATGTTTTGAGTTCGTGTTGTCATTGTACTGTTTATAAACTGAAGAGTCTTATCATAGTTGAGATTTAGAATAAGAGTTATGGAGTGAAAGCATATTTTATCTGGTGTCTTTCAGTGAATACTCTTGACAACGTATTGATTAACAATAAGTACTTTGACATATCATTCGCCTTGACAGTATTTTTGTTATTTAAATTCGCTTTAATTTTCGCGCTGACATATCAGCCATAATCTTAATTGTGATTGGCTAATTCAAGGCCATCAGTATACAAAACTTTCACTAAGACAACAATAGAACCTTACCACTGAATTATTTAGTAAAATAATCAACTTTAATCAGAAAGGAATTGTAAATATCATCAGTCTTACTGTAGCTAGTTAATTATTTACTTATAATGAGTACATTTCTGTAAAATGCCTTCTTGATCCAGTCAACCGATCGATCGATAGATAGACTGTTTTGAGCATATATATATATGTATTGAGAGAAATACACAGACATATACATAGGTAGATAGATAGACTTAATTATGAAAGTCGAATGAACTTACTACTTACTACTGTATGTACGTACTTAGAACAACTCACTAACTCACTAACTAACTACTTAAACCAATTACTGTCAACTATACAGTTTATTTCGCCTTCTACAATGAAAATCTAATCATGTCACATTGAGCAAATTGTTTCAAACAAACGAGTGAGTATTATTTGCGTGTGTCTTTTAGTAAAAAAAAGTGTTTCATAAAAGAGTGGGTGATAAAAGTTTGAGAAGCAAAATAGCTTTTCTTGTTAACTAGATAAAGTGAATGTCCTGTGAATGCAGAAATAATATATATATATATATATATATAGTGGGCGAATTAAGTGTTGATACTAGGCAAAGCAAGGAGAATTATGAAAATAGTAGTACTATGGATGCATAACATTACATTTCATGCTTAAAAAAAATAGACGATCGATGACTACTACCACTACTACTACTACTACTAGTGTAGTGAAGGAGAACACAGGTGAGGGCAACTGAATTGTATTTAACGAAAATTACAGAGTTACTCAGTAAAATATGAAAACCATATCGTAAACCGTTGTTAATTTGCAAATCTTCAATCCATCATCAATCCATTGTCTGACATTTCACCACTGTTCATGCGTTTCATACAAATTCCTTTCTTGATCTTCCCCCATCTTCGGCTGCCGGACATTACGTTTACACTCGCGTCATATACTACTTATAAGTAG